ATTCCTAACCATCCTTAATATATTGCCTTAATATTGTTCCATATTTTTAACAATTCTTTCATGTTCAATTTAATATCTACCTGGTTTTGTATTATATGGCATACCCATAATTTACTATTTGATAGATACTCTTCTAGCTATTTATATAAATTCAGTCAATACTAACAATAACCCTGTGAAAAAGTATTGTTATCATCCCATTATAATGAGTAAATTGAGGCACATAAAAATGAATTAATTTTTCCAAAGAAACACAGCTATTAAGTGATAGAGCCAGATTTACAGATTATGCAGTCTGGCTTTACAGTACCTGTACATAACTACTACAATATGTGTAATACTTGTTTCAAAAAATGCATGAAAAACAGAAACACTAAATTTAGGATAGCTGTTACTTCTGGGACATTCCAAGGGAAGATGAGACAGTGGAGAAGTATAAGTATTTTTTAAAAAGTATTAAAGTACTGTATAATTGAACAATATTAAATTGAAAATATTTAAATTATAAAATTTGCTGCATTTTGACATATGCATACATTTAGGAAACTGTCACCATAATCAAGAGAGCAAACATATTTACCACCTGCAAAATTTCTCAGACCCCTTTATAATATATTCTGCTTTCTATCCAGACAAACACTAATCATTGCTTTCTATCCATAAATATAAATTTGCATTTTCTTGAATAAATGGAATTAATTATGTACTCTGTTTTGTGTGGCCTTTTTATTTTGACATAATGATTTGAGATTGATCCATGTGGTATGTACTGATAATTCATTTCGTTTTATTGCTTAGTACTATTTTATTGTATAAATGTATGTTTATTCATTCAACCTATTGAAAGGCATTTAGGTTGTTTCCAGTTTTCTGCTATTACAAATAAAGTTTCTATGAATGTTAATTTAAAAGTCTTTGTGCAAACATAATTTTTAATTTATTTCTTGGTTAGATGTCTATGACCAGCTAGGTCATATAGTTGGTGTACGTTTACCTTTACGAAAAATTATCAAACTGTTTTCCAAAGTAATCATCCTTTATATTTTCAATGGAAATGTATAAAAATTCTAGGTGCTTCACATCCTCATTATCACTTGGCGGAGCCAGGTTTTCAATTGTTTATGTTTTTATTTTTTAGCTATTCTATGGGTATGCAGTAGTATTCCATCGTGGTTTTAATATGCATTTTCCTGATGATAAGCGATGTTTAGTATCATTAGGGATACAAATTCTTTTTTGTGTAATAAATATCTTCTGTTAGTCAATGTCTTTCTTTTTCATTTCTTAATAGTGTCTTTCAGAGAACTAAAGAGCTAAGTGATTTTCAGTGTCTCTTTATGAAATTCAGTTTATTAGTTTTTATAAATATAGTTTATGGTTTTTGTGTTCTAAGAAATCTTTGCCAGTCAAGGGTCACAAAGAAATTTATTTATATTTTCTTTTTTGAAATTTAATTTAAAAAATATTTATTTGTTTTTTGTTATTTATTTATTTTATCAGTTTTATTATTATTTCACTTTAAGTTCTAGGATACATATGCAGAATATTTGTTACATAGGTATACATGTGCCATGATGGTTTGCTGCACCCATCAACCTGTCATCTACATAAGATATTTCTCCTAATACTATCCCTCCCCTTGCTCCCCAACCCAAGAGGCCCTGGTGTGTGATGTTCCCTTTCCTGTGTCCATATGTTCTCATTATTCAACTCTCACTTATGAGTGAGAACATGTGATGTTTACTTTTCTGTTCCTGTGTTAGTTTCCTCGGAATGATAGTTTACAGTTTCATCCATGTCCCTGCAAAGGACATGAACTCATTCTTTTTAATGGCTGCATAGTATCCCATGGTGTATATGTGCCATATTTTCTTTATCCAGTTTATCATTGATGGACGTTTGTTTTGGTTCCAAGTCTTTGCTATTGTGAACAGTGCTGCAGTAAACATATGAGTGCATGTGTCTTTATAGTAGAATGATTTATAATCCTTTGGGTATATACCCAGTAATGGGATTGCTGGGTCAAATGGCATTTCTAATTCTAGATACTTGAGGAATCACCACACCGTCTTCTAAAGTGGTTAAACTAATTTACACTCCAACCAACTGTGTAAAAGTGTTCCTATTTTTCCACATCCTCTCCAGCATCTGTTGTTTCCTGACTTTTAATGATCACATTCTAACTGGCATGAGATGGCATGTCATTATGGTTTTGATTTGCATTTCTCTCTTTTTTTAATTACACTTTAAGTTCTGGGGTACATGTACAGCTCATGAAGAATTGTTACATAGGTATACACATGCCATGGTGGTTTGCTGCATCCATTCCCCAGTCATCTCTATTAGTATTTCTCCTAATGTTATCCCTCTCCAATCCCCTACTCCCTACTATCTCTCCTTGATTTCCCCACCCCGACAGGCCCTGGTGTGTGATGTTCCTTTCTCTGTGTCCATGTGTTCTCATTGTTCAACACCACTTATGAATGAGAACATATGGTGTTTGGTTTTCTATTCTTTTGTCAGTTTGCTGAGAATGATGGTTTCCAGCTTTATCCATGTCCCTGCAAAGGACAGGAACTCAGCCTTTTTTATGGCTGCGCAGTATTCCGTGGTGTATATGTGCCACATTTTCTTTATTCAGTCTATCCTTGATGGGCATTTGGGTTGGTTCCAAGTCTTTGCTGTTGTGAACAGTGCTTCAGTAAACATAGGTGTGCATGTGTCTTTATAGTAGAATGATTTATAATCCTTTGGGTATATACCCAGTAATGGGATTTCTGGGTCAAATGGTATTTCTAGTTTCAGATTTTTGAGGAGTCGACACACTGTCTTCCACAATGGTGGTTGAACTAATTTACACTCCCACCAACGGTGTAAAATCCTCTCCAGCATCTGTCATCTCCAAATTTTTTAATGATCACCATTCTAACTGACATGAGGTGGTATCTCAATGTGGTTTTGCTTTGCGTTTCTCTAATGGCCTGTGATGATGAGCTTTTTTTTCATATGTTTGTTGGATGCAGAGTGTCTTCTTTTGAGAAGTGTCTGTTCATATCCTTTGCCCACTTTTTGATGGGGTTTTTTCATGTAAATTTGTTTTAGTTCTTTGTAGATTCTGGTTATTAGCCTTTTGTCAGATGGGTAGATTGCAAAAAAGGTTTTTCCATTCTGTTGGTTGCTGATTTGCTCTAATGATAGTTTCTTTTGCTGTGCAGAAGCTTTTAAGTTTAATTATATCCCATTGGTTTATTTTGGCTTTTGTTGCCATTGTTGTTGGTGTTTTAGTCATGAAGTCCTTGCCTATGCCTATTTCCTGAATGGTATTGCATAGGTTTTCTTCTAGGGTTTTTATAGTGTTGGGTCTTATATTTAAATCTTTAATCCATCTGGAGTTAATTTTTGTATAAGGTGTAAGGAAGAGATCTAGTTTTGGCTTTTGCATATGGCTAGTCAGTTTCCCAACACCAGTTATTAAAAAGGGAATCCTTTCCTCATTGATTTTGTTTGGTTTGTCAAAGATCAGATGGTTGTAGTTGTGTGGTGTTCTTTCTGAGGCCTCGGTTGTGTTCCATTGGTCTATATCTCTGTTTTGGTACCAGTACCATGCTGTTTTGAGTACATTCAACTTATAATATAGTTTGAAGTCAGTTAGCGTGATGACTCCAGCTTTGTTTTTTTGCTTAGGATTGGCTATATGGCTCTTTTTGGTTCCATATGAAGTTTAAGATTTCTTTTCAAGTTCTATGAAGAAAGTCATTGGTAGCTTGATGGGGATAGCATTGAATTTATAAATTACTTTGGGCAGTATGGTCATTTTCACGACACTGAATCTTTCTAACCTTTCATGAGCATGGAATATTTTTCCATCTGTTTGCATCCTTTCTTATTTCCTTGAGCAGTGGTTTGTAGTTCTCCTTGAAGAGGCCCTTCACATCCCTTGTTAGTTGTATTGCTAGGTATTTTATTCTTTCTGTTGCAATTGTGAATGGGAGTTCACTCATGGTTGGCTCTCTGTTAATCTGTTATTGGTGTATAGGAATGCTTGAGATTTTTGCACATTGATTTTGTATCCTGAGTCTTTGTCAAAGTTGCTTATCAGCTTAAGAAGATTTTGGGCTGAGATGATGGGTTTTTTTAAATATACAATCATGTCATCTGCAAACAGGGACAATTTGACATCCTCTCTTCCGATTTGAATATTTTATTTATTTCTCCTGCCTGATGGCACTAGCCAGAATTTCCAGTACTATGTTGAATAGGAGTGGTGAGACTCTGCTCTATTTAATCTCATTCTGTTGTTAATATTTTTGGTACTTCACTGCTCGCTAGAATATCAGTCATAAAAATGAGAGACAACATGGAGAATGGAGATAATACCTAAGTTTATACATTTTTTTATGTAGCTGTTAGTTCTCTTGATGGAGAAAATGAAAATTAAGTTTTATTATTATATTTTTGTTATGTAGCAATTAGTTGTAATTTTTCTTTAAATCCTTACTGTACATATTCTTTAACATGTTCTCATAGAAGTTTAGAATACAAGAAGCTCAGTACAAACCATATATATCTATTGTGAAAATATAAATAAGATCCAATATGTTAGAGTCAGTTTGTATACAATAAAGCTTAAAGAAAATATATAAGTTATTATCATTCTCACTTTTCTAAGTAGGAAACTGAAGTTTGTGATTCTTCTCTTGGTTTATAGGGGCTTACCACAGACTCCATATAGTATGTTGATCTGTCAAATATACTTGTAGCACAAAAGGATCTGGGTCAGAAGGGCCAGACAGAGAAGCTTGCACCACAGCCTGGTCTAGCTGAAAAGTTCTTACACTGGGCTGCATTCAGACTTGGCAGCCCTATGGATTGTTAACACTGAACCTTCAAGTATTCAATGTTCACAAATGCCACTACAGAGAGCATAGTATTTAAATGTGTGTACCATTTAGCTGCATGAACTTCTATTAAAACACAGTTTTCTTAATTTTTATTACCAGGTAACCTGGGCCGGGTGGACCACGTCTCTGAGTTTGAGTATGATCTGTTTATTAGGCCGGACACCTGTAATCCACGCTTCCGAGTCTGGTTCAACTTTACTGTTGAAAATGTGAAAGAATCACAGGTGAGGAAAATAGTGGATACCTTCAGAGCGGTTTTGGTAAGAATAATATGCTTTTGTCTTCTTTTAGGAATATCAAAATAATGACTATATTAATAATATATTCTTGTTTATCCATAGCAATGATACAGTTTTGGTTCAAGAGATACAGAGAAATAGGTACATTATGTTAACTTTTGTTAACTGATGGTTATTAAATAATACAAATATTTCATCTGAGAATAAAGTGTTTCTTACTGATTGAAGCATTAGCATGGTATGTTAGAATTCCTTGAGGGACACAATAAGGAAACATGGGAAGAGACTTGCTATTATGTTTCCAAAGGGTATTGTTATTTATTGTCTCTTCTTTATAAAGATCTGTGGGAAACATTTCTCACAAGTCTCAGTTTCAGAAGAAAAGCTTTTCTTCTGTACAACAGGGTGTTTGTACCTTTAAACCAATGTGATTCTTATAACTGATCTGATTTTCCCTTTGCTTTGGCTGCTGGGAAACTTGGAACCATATTTACAACCCTCTCCAGTGATTCTGGAAAACATTTTTGCTGTGCTTTTGTGTACTGACTTTCCTTTTACAGATTGAATATTCCTTATCTTAAATGCTTGGGACCAGAAGTGTTTCCAATTTTTTTCAGATTTTGGAATATTTGTATATATAATACATACTGAGATATCTTTGGGAGGATACCCAAATCTGAACATGAAATTCATTTATGTTTCATATATACTTTTATACACATAGTCTGAAAGTAATTTTATACAATATTTTAAATAATTTTGTTCATGAAAAACTATTATTTTCAATTTATGGCATCATTTCAGTGTTCAGAAAGTTTTGGATTTTGGAGGGTTTTAGATTTTTGATTTTCAGATTAGGGAGGCTCAACTTGCATTTTGAATGTATTCATCTGCTTTTAACTAAAATTTCTTCAACTACATTTTTAATAGTTCACATTTTTAATAATGCTTTCGAATCCTATTTTTATGAGAGTATTGATGAAAATAAAGAAAACTAAAAACATATGCTTTGAATAAACATTAATAAAACCCAAATTGTAAGATATCAGTTATTATTCTGTTACATTGAGGCAACTGGTCACAGAAGACTGCACAAACATTGTACACATAGTGAAATTATTATCGTTTTAAGCAGGTGGAAGCATAGTTCTGCAATCCAACATCTACCTTCTTACTTAATGTTGTCTTTTCCTAGTATGTTTGGGAGAAAGCAGGGAGTTTAGCTTCTCCTGAGTCAATCCATTCTGCTTGCTCTTTACCCTGGTTGTTTGCTTCTCATTATTTTATCTCAGCTGCTACTTGACTTGTGTGTCAGACAGTGGTCAGTGTCTAGAATTTAGGGACTCTGAGCCTTCTTCTATACAATATTATTCCTGGCATACTAGCTTCGGCAAAAAGGGAGTGCAAATAGAGCCACTTTACTTTGCTACTGATAGTCTTAATTTTGTCCAACACCATGGACAGAAGACTGAGTGTATGTAATGTTTACTGAAGTTTAGGGGCTAACAGGAAGGAATCTAGGGAACAGCCCTGAACATTATTTACTAAATATGACTTGTCTCAGAATTTTAGGACAAGAGGAGAAAAAAAGAGTTACACCACACAGAAAGCCTCTTAAGGACAAACTTTAGTTCTTAGCTTTGCTTCTTGGTTTTATTTACTCTCCTATGACAGAGTTCCCTTTTCAGTTTTTCTCAGTAACAGTAGGCATCTCTTTCTCCTGATCTTAGGAAAACCCTCACTTTACCTACAGAGGTTCACCTGATTCTAGGATTGTCCTACTTGTTCCACCAAGACAATCAGTAATCCTTAAAGTATATTTCCAAAGTCTGTGTTACTGAATCTAGAGAGTGCAATCCACAATAGGAGACTTTAGTCACATGTACTAGACTGAATCTTTCACTCCAAATTTGGGAACCCTAGGAGGTTTTCTTCATTACCTCTCTAGTTCTTTTGTTCAGGTTCCTGACTCTTATCAGTAACTTATGGTTGTCACATACACATACCTCTGGAAAATAAACAATAATTCCAAAGCAGTGTAGTCAATTCATATGAAGGAAGGAAAATATTTTCTTAAAAGCAGTATAATCTGCCATGATTTCTAAATTCATAAAGGGATTTTTTTTCCTATTTTTTTCACAGCATTGGTACATCCCTCAGCTGGATCCAGGAACCCACTAACTCCTAAAATGTAGGGCCGATTACTTTTCAAACAACAGAATCATCTATCCTCATTATGTTTTTTGCTATTAATAGAGACTTAGCAGAAGCTCTGAAATTATACTGTTTCTTTAACTTTGGGTCACATTAAATTCCTGGCCCAGTTTTTCATTCAGTTTAATGTCTATAAAGATTATCTTCATGGCCGGGCACAGTGGCTCACACCTGTAATCCCCACACTTTGGAAGGCCGAGTCGGGTGGATCATGAGGTCAAGATATCGAGACCATCCTGGTCAGCATGGTAAAACCCCATCTCTACTAAAAATACAAAAAATTAGCTGGGCATGGTGGCAAGTGCCTGTAATCCCAGCTACTCAGGAGGCTGAGGCAGGAGAATTGCCTGAACCCAGGAGGCGGAGGTTGCGGTGAGCCGAGATGGCACCATTGCACTCCAGCCTGGGTAACAAGAGCGAAACTCCGTCTCAAAAAAAAAAAAGATTATCTTTATACAGCTTATACAAAGAGGGGTAGAGTGTGAGATGATAAGAGAGCTGGGGATTCCGTCAGTTAAACTACTTGAGATAGCCTTTTGGACAAGTTTCTCATAAAATGTTCTTTGCTCTTCTAGTTTGTTTATGAGGATTTTCTTTTTGCTGTTTAAAATGTCTCTGCCAGAGTGTTATAACTTTCACATTACATTTTAAAGCCATACAGCCTCCTTTGCAATTTTATCTATCAATTAACTAAGCAAGTAACGTGAATGTTTTTTAAAGGGTTATTCTTATAAGAGAGTTGTGTCTGTTTTATGGATGTGTATTTATTAAGGTTGAAGGAATCAATATTTTCCTTGCCTCTGGGTTCTGTCTTCATATAGAATGCTATCCTATCCTTGTTCCAATTAGAAATCATGAACATGTCTATCTGGTTTCCTGGAGCCTGATGCTTTTGTCAGCCTCTTTCTGTGGGCCATTGCCTCATCAACTGTAATCACATTATATAGTTATGGAAATCTGTCTCAAGAAGGCATAAAGATCTGCAGGAAAGATTCAATCTATATCTCTAGCTCACAGGATATTTGTTTTCATGGTAGCCTACATGAAAGAAAATAGTTTTACTATGAAGTTTGACTTGTGAGGTCTGTTTTTATAGCATTTCTTTCTATAACCTTTTTTTTTCATCTCTCCAATTTCCATTAAAAGGAGACCTGCATAAATGTAATCTAGTCAAAAATGTTATTTAGATCTTGGTACTAGAAGGCAAAAAATAATATTAATCATCACTGGCTGACTCCATTAAATAAATTTAAAAAGTTGAAGCATCAAATATATTGTATAAACAGGTCTAGCTTTTGAGTATATTTCTTGATGTTTCTAGGAAATAATAAAAGCTTGCAACATATGGTTTTTATATCCCAGGACTGATATGTCAACCCCTGAAAGTACTTGCTAAATAGTGCATTTGCAAAATTAGTGAAAACTAAATGTTTGTTGTTTCCTTTATGAGAAAGTATATTTCCCTCTAAAAATATTAAATATTTTTAGTGGGAATATTAAATATTTTTAGTGGAAATTTATTATTAATGCAGCTGAGAGCAATTGTATGATATGAAAGCTGATCTTCCTACTCAAATATACTAAAACTTCAGCCAATAAGAGAAAATAAAATGACATGCTTGGATTAATTAAGCTCTATTTCTTTTTATATTCTTTTTATCTTTTTGAATTTATCTTTCCCATTTTTGATTGTAAAAATAGTCAATGCACAATGTAGTAAATTTGGGAAATGTAATTATTTGAAGCTGAGAAAAAGCTCTGCCCACACAAAAATAAATTACAGTTTACTAACTAGAAGTAAATACTATTATTTACTTGGCATATTTATTTCTAAACTTATTTATTTTCTATCTTGGAACATATCTAAATTTGTACTGTATATACATTTTCATGTTTTGCTTCTAAAGAACCTAAATATTATCACAGGCAATTTTCTGTTATCAAAATTTGAAAAATATGGCTGTAAAATATTAATAGCTCTTTACTATTACACTATTTTGTTATTCTTGGTCATAAAGATTATTTTCCATTTGATGTTGTGATATGTAACAATGTAGTGAACATCTTGATTCAGGAAATGTTACCCAAATTTTATTTTGCTTCTTTAAGATAAATTTCTGTGAGAAGAACTGATAGGTAAAAGGATATGAACATTTTAAAGTCTTTTAAACGTATATCTAAATTGCTGCCTGAAGGTTTATACTGTTGTTTTTTTCAGTCCTATCACCAGTGAATAAGATTCCTTTATTTGAATTTCTTGCTTTGTTTTATAAACTTCAGTGTTTACAAATCCATAGTAATTGTTACGTTTTCCTTACTTGTTTTGAAACTTCACACAGATAAATGGGATATGATGCAATGTCTGAGGCCTCTAGTCATAAATTAATTGCGTTCCAGCAATAAAATGAGACATTTATTATTTTGATTCATTTTCTCAATTCATCAATCCTGTTTTACCTGGGAGTGCCAATAGATTGTCCTCTGAGGTATGTAATAAGAGATTTAAAAAAAGGAATTGCTTAATAACAATATAGCATTTTTTGGATTACTATAAGAAATAATATAGTTTAAACATACACATGTGCACATACACACTTTTATATAGATGTGTTCAAATTTACCTTTAAGATTCCAAAAAAGTTTGCTGCTTCTTTCCCTCCTGGAGAATTCAGGCTCTGAAATTTTGTCTTGGCCGTGGCCAAAAACCAACAGTGCCCAAAGGCAGCTTATCACAGTGGAATGAGCACAGACAATGGATTTAAACCAATTCAGTTTTATATTCTGACTCTTAGTTATGAGCTGTTTTA